GTCTGACATGGCTCTCCTCCCCATGTATGAGTCCTGGGCATGCTGCCAGGAGACTGGATGTCCCTGCCCCATGGCTGCCTCCAATCCCTTTCTTCTTTCGCCCCTTGTCACCTCTCCAGTGTCCACTCCTTCTCTGACCCCACCATGGCCCCCATCTGTGAAGTCCATGTGTGTATGTACCTGGGGGCTCATGGGGATGCTCAGAGGAAAGGGCTGCAGATGCGAGGGGGTGAACGGAGTCCCCCAGGATCTTAGGGGCTCTCATTCCCATTGGAAACCCCATGGTAGTGTTGAGCACCGGCCTGGGAGGCCAGAACCTTCCCTTCTTCTCCGGACTCCCCTCACCTCACGCGCTCAGGCCAGTCCCCGCCTCTCCTGGTCTCAGTTTACCAGTTGTACCAGGAGGGGTTGGACGCGGAACTGCGTAAGCGCGCGCTCAGCGTGGACTGGGCGCCGTGCTCCCTCCTCGCCGGATGGGGTGTGGGCCAGGGACATGCGGTCCTCCCTCCACCCCCGCCGGCTCGGAGGGCGGCCGGGGCCGAGCCGGGGCACTCACCTGGCAATCTACCATCATCCTCAGCCCTGGCAGCGCATCGCCAGCCCCAGGGCGGGGCCCGGGGCTCGCAGAAGCCGCTCGCCTCGGCCCGCGCGCGGCGCAGGGGGGCGCCCGGCTGCCGGGCTCATGGCGCGGCCTCCCGTCCCCGCCGGGCCCGGAGCTCTGCAACCGCCGCCGCCCGCGCTGCCGCCGCCGCCGCCGCCCGCACCGCTCCCATTGTCTGCGCCGCCGGCCGCTCGGGCCCCGCTGCCTGGTTCCGCCCGGACTCCCGGGCTCCGGCCGGTGGGCGGGGACAGCCGCGGCCCCGCCCCGCCCCGCCCCGCCCCGCCCCGCCCCGCCCGCCGCAGGTGTGAGGGGCGGGCGCCGCCGCGCGAGCTCGGGGGCGCGCTCGGGGGGGGGCGCGCTCGGGGGGGGGGCGCGCTCGGGGGGGGGCGCGCTCGGGGGGCGCGCGTCTTCTCCCGCGGGCGGCGGTGGGTGGGCCCTGCCGGGGCCGCCGGGCCTCGTGTCCACGGACGCGTGCACGCGGGGCCTGTGGGGGCCCGCGGACAGCGCGTACGCGGGAGCCGCGCCTTGCCGCCGCATACCGAGGGTCCAGCGCGCGGCGGGTACCCCGCGTCTCCCTCCCAGCTGCTTGCACTCTGCCTCCGCGCCCGCCGGGACCTCGTGCTGCCCCAAACCCAAGCGGGCGAGGGAGGGCCATGGGGCGCTGGGCCAGGTTGGCGTGGAGATCTACGCGGGAGTCGCCGAAGAAAGAGCGCTATCCTTCGTCTTGCTCCCCACATGTAACCTGCAGGGGCCTGCAGGGTGCGCGGCTGGGCCAGAGGACCTGGAGGCGGCCAAGGACCCCGAGTACAGGCAAGAAGGTCAGTCTGTCCCTTACTCCTCCCCTGCATCTCTTCTTGTTCTCCTGGCAGGACCCTGGACATGAGGTCTGGCCTGTCCCTGGCTGCAGCCCTGGTTGGAGTCAGAGGGCTGGAAAGGAGCCCAGAAAGGAAGGAGCCCACCTCAGGGGTGCGGGAGCGTTGGGTATATTTAGTGTTGCCCAGGAACTCCCTGGGTGCTCCGTGATTCCACCCCTTTTGATACATGAGCAGTGATCCCAGAGATCAAGGTCACTCAGCTCTGAGTTCAAGTCCGGATGTGGACGTGAACGTGGGACTCAAGATCATTGTTCTTCACCCTCACTGAGCCCCCGCACTGACCATCACTGGCCTTATCCTGGGTTGGGGCTCCGTCAGCTCACCTCCTGAGCTCAGGGTCAGAGACCCCATTTTCAATGAGACTCTGAGCAGTCACCAGCTTCCCTGGCACAGGGCTGGGACCTGGCCCTGCTGTGGGTTTGAACCCAGCTCGATCTGACCCAAAGGCTGTGCTTGCACAGGGGCATGGGGAGGTGGCCTCTGAGCCCAGGCTTGGAGGTGAGGCTGGCATGGATGGGGGCCATGTGAGAGCTAGTGGCTGCAGGGGGCTCTGAGGGGCAAAGGCTTGGTGGGCTCCCTGGGGGAGGAAGGTCCTACAGAGGCTGGAGTGGGGCAAGGGGTGACCACTGGAGAGGGCATCTGGACCAGATCATGCAGGCTCTGGATGTTGGGCAAGGAGTCTGGGGTCACTGCAGGAAGGGGACACGGGATACCAGCAGGGCAGTCTTATCAGAGGTATTGAGTTCTAGGTTGGGAAGGAGCTTGGTGGACATGTCATTGCCCCCGCTCAAGCATGGAACCCCAAAACCAAGTAGGAATGAGCTGTGTAATGGAGGCTATGGCGGTCATCTGCCTCCTTCCGGGGTGGGGCAGGCTGCTTGGAGGGCCCAGACCTAGCCGCATCCTGAAGTAGCTGCCCAGGTGGAGCTCCAGCCATAATCTCATCTAATCCTTACCCCAGGGCCTCACATGAACTGTCCGACAGCCCACAGGTGCTAGGACACACTCTTACTCCCGTGTTCTCTCAGCTGTCACCCCGTACACAGTCATTCAATAGGTACAGAGTACCTCCTGGGTTTCAGGTACCAGGGGAACCAGGCCAGCCTCAGTCTGTCCCGTCTTGGAGTTTACCAACTGGGCAAGGGGCGGAGATGGGCAGACCTTGTAAATGGCACAGGGGTGAGGAGGGTTCTTGGGAAAGCTGAAGGGCATCCACTCTGGAGTGGGGCACAAATCAAGGCAGGCTTCCTGGAGGGGACGTCAGGCGTGAGTCCCCAGAAGTCAGCGGGGTAACGAGACAAGCAGACCTGACTGGTGGGCAGTGTGAGTAGAGGTGTACGGACCAGGCCCTGTGGCTGAGCGATGGTGTGGGACTGTCACATGTGGGGAGGAGGCAGTTGGCCATAAGGGACAGGGAGCTTGAGTGTCAGGGGCCTGCGCTGCACACATTTTGTATTTGTGATTTTGTGTCTTCCTTAAAGAAGTACCTTTGCAATTTAGAAAACTTCGAAGCCCCCAAAACGGATGGGTCCTGTCAACAGTGGTGCCTGGGGCTCAGATCAGATTCTGTCAGACTGCTGGGACTGTCTCTGTGCCGCCCCCGCCACGCCCCCGTCTGCAGGCTAAGGCCCCGTCCCCCTGCACCCCTCCCAACCCCCACCAGACTCCTTACCTCTTCCCACCCATGCAGCAGTTCTGGCTCCAAGCCCTCAGCTCTGTTTTGGAAAGTAGTTTGGACCCTGGTTTGATTCCAAGAGTTGGGTCCTGTCACTCCCTCAACTCAGGTCTGAGGGCTGTGCCCTGTGGCGGGGATAAGTGTCAACCTTCTCCTTGGGGGTTTGGGCCAAGGCTGAGGTGGGAAATCAGCGGGGTCCAGGAGAGGCTGGGCTGGGAGTGAGGCAGGGGCTCCCTTCTCCCCTGCAAGTCTGCTGCTGCCACCCGGGCCTCAGGGCCACCTCCCCACCCCCAACCCAGAGGCCTTCTGTGGTCTCCACGCCAAGGGGCCTCTTCCTGGCCCAAGGTGGAAGTCCCTTGAAGGCAAGTCCTGCTTTTTCAACAACTCACCTCACAGGGCAGGTCCTGATGCTCTGGGAAGGGGCTCGCCACTGGGACACACAGGCTGTGGGCCCGCTCTTGCCCTGCTTCCCCTGGAAGTGCCCCCAGAGCCTCTCCCTGACTCATCCTCCCCAGCCCAAGCCGTCTCCTCTGCTCACGTGGTCTGCTTGGTCTGCTCACACTCTGGCAGTCTGTCCTTGCTCACCAGCCAGACCACAGGCTACAGGAGGAGGCTTTGGGCAGAACCCCAGGTTTGCCAGGGGTGGCCAAGTCGGGGGGGTGCCTCTTCTTCCCAATGTGGCCAGAGCGTACCCCCCGCACCCTCCGTGGCAAAGGAGCAGCTGCCCCCAGAGGAGTGAACACTGGGCTACTGCAGCCTGAACCCACGCCCACCCCATCTCTGTCCTGCCAGGCAGACACACCCATGGGGGGTTGTGCTCGCAAGTCCCTCTGGGGCTGCTGCCCTGGCGAGGCTACCCACCCGGGCCCTCTAATCCTGGGCCTGCACCACAGCTTCGGAGCCCCATCGGCAGCCTCATGGGGCCAAGGCTGACCCTCGCCTTGGGAGCTGCGGACACCTGCGTTCCGGGCTCGGGGTCCAAGAGGCCACCAGAAGCCAGCTGATGGGCTCACAGGAACGGAATCCCGTCTGTGGCAGCGGTCAGCTTTAGTCCAGATTTTCTGCACAACTGGACCCTCTCTGCACCCCCACAAGCTGACTGTGTTTGAAACCCAGGCCTCCCGGATCCCTGGTGGCCAGCCACACCTACCCAAGGATGTGCAGGTGAAAACACCCTGTGTAGGGCTTAGCACACACCAGCTTTTTTTTTTTTTTTTTTTAAGATTTATTCATTTTAGGGAGGGAGCGTGCATGTGTGTGCATGTGCACATGACTGGGGGGAGGGGCAGAGGGAGAGAAAGAGTCTCACGCAGACTCCCTCCTGAGCGTAGAGCCCCAGGTAGTGGGGGCGGGGCTCCATCCCAGGACCTGAGATCATGACCTGAGCCAAAACCGGGCGTCCGCAGCCCAACCGACTGAGCCACCCAGGCGCCCTCCATGCCACCTTTGTTAAAAGCTGCCCAAGCCCTCTTACAAAGGATGTGGCTGGTGCCAGGGAGTGTGGCCCACCGTGCGGTACGGGCTAGGTTTGACACCGGAGAGCCAGGCCTATCCCACTGCCAAGGCGCCCTCCACAGCCCAGCGCAGGCTTGGGCCCCTGTGGGTGGAGGACAGCACAGGACCCAGGAACCCCAGCAGCCAGAGAAGAGGGATCTGGGCTGCCTTCCACACCAGGGGCTCAGAAGTGCAAAATTTTTTTTTTAAGGTTTTATTTATTTATTTGACAGAGAGATAGAGAGAGCACAAGTAGGCAGAGCAGCAGGCAGAGAGAGGGAGAAGCAGGTTCTCCACTGGGCGGGGAGCCTGATGTGGGGCTCGATCCCAGGACCCTGGGATCATGACCTGAGCTGAAGGCAGCCATTTAACTGACTAAGCCCCCCAGGCACGCCTAGAAGTGCAACTTTAAGGGCAATAGGCAGCGGAACGGGCGGGGGCAGAGGTGGGCACGGAGTTTTTACTCTCAGGCACGGAGGAGGGCTGACTCCAGAGCCTGCCCCAAAAGGCACGTCCGCTGGGTAGGGCCCACCAGGCCCTGTCCGCTTCACCTCTTCCTCCCTTCTTCCTGGCCGTGTGAGCTTTGTGTTCTCATGTGGGTGCAGCCCTTTACAGTTTACAAAGGCCTTTCTGCCTCCATTTTCTGCTGAGACAGAGGTAGGCAGGGCTGGACTGGTCTCACCTGGAGCCCGAGAAGGGAGGCATTGGGGCGCACCGGCTGTGGGGCATGGGGACCCCTCCACGGCAGCCCTGGCTCTGCCATCAGCTCCTTAGCCGGCTGGTGGCCTTGTCCGGTGTGGAAAAGCGGATCAGCTTCAGGCTGGGCGGCTGGGGCTTCCTGCCGTCCCAGAGGTACTCAGGTGACAGCACTTTGGAGGGCTTGTGCGACAGGAAGCGGCGGTTCAGGTGGCTCTCCTCCTGCCAGGCGGCCATGATGCCATTGGCCTTGTCCGCCAGGATGGCCATGTGGCAGCCCCTGGTAAACTCGTACACACTGGCCACCCGCCCCCCGAAGACCGCCCCACCATAATAGAAGTCCCCTTCGCCGTCTGCCACGAAGGCGGTGGAAATATGCCTGCGCTCGTAGGGGAACTGCTGGCGGGGCACAGCATAGTAGCCGGGGTGAATGGCGGCCACCAGGTCCCCCAGGGTCTCGGGGCCCCATGGGTTCCGGAACACCATGTCCACATTGAGGCAGAAGATGTACTCCACCTCCCGGTGTGCCCTCTTGGCGATGTGCCGGCTGATTTGCTCCATCCGGCGCGTGGAGATCTCCTCCCAGTGGGCGTGCCTCTGGATGGGGATGGTGCTGAGGAGGCGGCCGGGGCCCAGCGGGACCCGAGGGATGGCTGCGGAGTCGTCGGTGAAGAGGTAGTACCGCACCCGATAACCCTGCATGAAGAAGCGCTCGGCGGACTCCAGGAAGTGCTGCACGAAGCCCGTGTACCTTGTGGGAATGACGTCATTGGCCCTGCTGGCCCTGCCCCACCACATGCTGGCCCTGTCCTGCATGGGGCAGGGGAGTGGGGCTGGGCTCACCCCAGGCTGGGGTCCACCTCCCAGCTCTACCCCTGGAGATGCCACTCTGGTCTGAAACCTTGGGGTCCTCTGTCCCACCCCCATAGTCACAGTACGGACCTCTTCCTTCGTAGGAAGGATACTGTGATTCGCACACCCAGCTGACTTTCCGTGAGCACTTAACTAGGTGCGGGGCAGTGTTTGAAGCGATTCTTAGCTCCTTCGAGCCTCACAAACTCCCTTAAGGCAGGCACCACAATCCCCATTTCAAAGTTTATTGGTTGTTTTTTTTTTTTTTTAAGTAATCTCTACACTCAATGCGGGGCTTGAACTCACAACCCCAAGATCGACAGTCGTTCGTTCCACTGACTGAGCCAGCCCAGGGCCCCCCAATAATCTGCATTTTAGAGGCAGAGACACCGAGGCTCAGAGAGAGGAAGGTGACCACTTGGTGGGTTAAGTGGCTGCGTCAGGACGGGGTGAGTGGTGCTGGGGGCTTGGGGCTGCGCCCCCCCCAGGTCGAAGCTGATAGAACCTGACCCCAGGCGGGCCACCTGTCACCTGGCCAGCACTTGAGGTATTGGGGCCCCGTCGTGGTTTCTCCCTCGGGAAACTGGAAAATGAGACGCAGGAGGAGGCTGCCTGGTGGTGGCTAAAGGCAAGGCCGGGCAGGGTGAGGGGGAGGAGAGGAAACCAGGAGGTACCCAGAGAGTGGCGGGCCCAGAGTAGGCAGAGGGGAGGGACCTGAGGGGCGGGGCTTGACCTGCCTGCGGCCTGACCAGGGACCCCAGTTATGTGAGGCGGTCTTAAGTGTTTCCAGTCCTTCATGCCTGCCTCGACAGTTCTGGGGAGGCAGAGAGGGGTGAGGAGGCCCACGGGGTGTCCTCACAAAGGCTCCCGCTGCTCCCTCACCTGGGCCGTCTCCTTGCTTCCATGCCAGGGCCAGACCCCCTCCTCCGGGAAGCCCTCCCCTCATCACCCTCTATTCCCTACCTTCCCACGTGCATAGTGCCTGGCTCAGTGCTTCCCTGGTGTCCAGGCGGGGACCCGTGTCCCGGTCCTGTTCCTTCCCAGGCTGTAAGCTCCGAGGGCTCAGGGACAACCCCCAACGCGGCCGACTACTCACTTCCCTACGGCAAACACCGTGACCCCGATGGTCAGGTTCAGAGGCTGGTAGATGTGGCGCAGCAGCTCGGGGTTGAAGGTTCCCTCGGACACGATGGGTGCCAACCAGGGCGTAAGCGTCAGCAGCTCCGAAGGCCTGGCAGCAGGGGGGGCCGGGGGGCTGAGGCCCTTCCCTTGGGAGAGCCGCAGCCTCATCCTGGTCCTGCCTCCCACGCTTCATCCCTGTCTCTGGGCCCCAGACCCTCCTATGGGAAGTGGGGATAATGGCTCCTCTCCAGCATGGTCAAGAGGACCAGGAGTGAACGCACATCCACTGTGTAAGGGACCCTGGCACTTCAGGCACCTGCTAAGTGCCTAATCCACACAGGGTAGCAAGGGACCCCAGATTGAGCACCTACTATGCAGTGCCGCCTTTTTTTTTTTTTTTTTTTTTAAGTAGTCTCATGCCCAGCGTGGAGCCCCACATGGGGCTTGAACTCACCACCCTGAGATCAAGAGTTGGACACTCAAATGAACTGAGCCACTCGGGCACCTGGAGCTACGCCTTTTGCAAACACCATCTCATCTAGTTCTCCATCCAATCGGCCACGAAGCCGGTATTCTTACCCACTTGTACACAAAAGGCTCCGGGCAGTCTGCCCAAGGTGAAGAGCTAGTGACCGACAGGACCAGAACCCAGGTCCCAGACTACCTGGGCCCCAAGGCCACCTGACACCCCTACCACCCCAGCTTATAAGTCAGAGCTCTATACCTGCACTCCCCACCCCCTCTAGGCCCCCCATCCTCCCCCCAATCTCTCCATTCTGCACCCAGGCCCCACCCAACACCCACCTCTGCTCCAGCAACTTGGGCTGAGGGTACAGTGACCTGTAACCGAGAAGGGCCAGTGGTGAGGGGAGGTGGCCCCCAGGTCCCTTGGGCCACAAAGGGGGAAATGGCAGTCACTTACCAGGTCACGGGCTGGAACGGCTTCTCCCCCTTATACTGCAGTTGCATGTTGCTGGGGGCAGAGGTGACAGAGAACTATTAGTGCCAGGGCTGGGGACAGAGCAACTCAGGGAAGGACAGAGTGGAGAAGCAGCAAACCATCCCCCCCCACCCCACTCCCCCTCTCATGGGGCAGGCTTCCTTCCAGCTCCCAGGCAGACTTCCTGGAACCTTCCCCACTCCTCCAAGCCCCCCCACCCCCCCCCGCTGCTGGGGCTGGGCTCCTACAGAAGCAGTCCCTCTGGGGTCGCTAAGGGGCAGGGCAGTGCTTGATACCCTGTGTCCTCTGTCTGCAAAGCTGAGGCTCTTTCAAACATATCCCTCTGTAGGGGCCTGGCAGTGGGTAGAGGTTCTGAGAAGCTGCAAAGAGCCGGTGATCTGAGTTTCTGCCCCTTTCTTGCCTGGGGACCTGGGCTGAGTCAACGGAGCCCATGGGATGATCACTTGCAGGACCCAGTTACACAGACACCAATCAAGGCGCTGCTTCGACAGTATTTGGTGGGCGTGATTACCATCTACACCAGCCGGCCTTGGGTAGAGAGGATCCTGCAGGGCCTGGGTGGGCTTGACCCCGGTGGAAAGGCCCAAAGAGCAGAGCTGAGGTTTCTGTGGAGACATTCCGACAGCCTCGGCACCTGCCCGAGCCCCAGCCTGCCCTTCCCGGTGCCTGCTCCCCGGATTCCAGGCTGGCTCAGCTCCATCAGTCGATCTCCCTTTCTCCTTCCCTCCTCCATTCTGTGTCTGTCATGGAACCCTGGCTCAGGCCCCCACTCTTCCTCATCTGTAAAATGGGTAACCATCCTGCACCCTCCGAGCTGGCCCGAGGACCAAGGGACGCGCCCAGGCCCAGCACTGAGTGAATGCTTGTGAAGGCAGCTTGTCCCCTTCTTGGCAGGCAGGCTGTGTGGCCAGCCTCCACTAGCTGCAGCGGAGGGCAGCCTCAGGGAAGAAGTAAGGAGGAAGGTCCTGCGGGTTGCACAGAGCCCCTGGTCCTTCCACCAGCCGGCTGGAAGGACCCGGGGCCAGACTTTGGACTCCTCGGGCTTGAAAGTCCTCCCAATAATGTCCTTCCCCAGAGGGTAGAAGTGAGGCCCAGAGAAGGCGGAGGCCTGCGCGAGGCCACCCGGGGAGGGCAGCAGCTACGGAAGAGGCCTGAGGTCAGCTGTCAGGCCAGACCACCTGAGCATACCGTGCCTGCCCCTCCCTGAGGAATTTTCAATGTGGCATCTTTAATGGGATAGCTTAAGCCTCCTTAAGTTTTCCTACCAATTTTTTGTCCACAGGACGGAAAGAGAGAGTTGGGGTAGAGGGAGAGAGAGAGAATCTCAAGCAGATTCCCTGCTGAACTTGGGGCCTGACGTGAGGCTCGATCTCATGACCCTGAGATCGTGACTTGAGCTGGAACCAAGAGTCGGACGATCTGACCCATTGAGCCATCCAGGTGTCCCCATTTTAACCAGTTTGAAGTACACAGTTGAGGGTCCTGAAGCACACGGACACTGTTGTGCCACTGTCCCCACCATTCCTCTCCAGAACATTCTCATCTTCCCAAACTGAAACTCTGTCCTCATGAAACACTGGCTCCCCTCGGCCTCTCCTGGTAACCATTATTCTACTTCTGCTTCTACGAATTTGATTATTCTAGAGATCTCATATAAGTGGGATCCTGCAATATGTGCTTGTCCTCCCGTGATCAGTTTAAACTCTTGAATCAACAGTTTTTAAGAGTCAGTCCGTCCCCTTGGTTGTCTGCCCTGGTTTCCACCCCAACAAGCGCTCAGGTCCCGGCTCAGAAAGTGAGGGCAGAGGCCAAGGCAGGAAGTGAGGAGGGAGAAGGCAGTGGGATCCCACCTCCCCCCAAGCCTCCCCCCAAGCCCAGCTACGCTCCAGCCTCACTGGAGAGCTCAACAGTCATCAGCTGAGGCCACAGATGAGCTGGAGCCAAAAAACAAGAACAAAACCCAAAAAACAAAACCCCAAAGCAAAACAAAACAAAAGCCAACTTCACATGTTCGTACCCGCACCGTAGGCAGGAAAACTAAACGTGAAGAAATGCACATGAAAAGACAGAAAGGTGACCATTTACACTTGCAAAAATTCTCCAACTTTGATCTGTTAAAAAAAAAAAGAGCTAACTGGACCCAAACAAGAGACAAACTGGGAAGAAAAAGAATGTAGCGAATACTTTGGGCCCAAGGTAGTGCTAGAGCCCCCTACAAGCAGGCGGGGGGGGGGGGGGAGGGAGAGAAGGCATATGGCAGGGGCGTCAGGAAAGAGGGAACTCAGTTCGTGGGGAGGGCTGGGGGAAATGAGATCCTCCGCGGAAATCAAGGAAATGAAAATTGAAACTCAGGAGATAGCGTCCTCCCACGCCGTGTCTTGAATGAGCAAAGTGTTCTGGTTTTTGCTTTTCGGAACACCCACTGCTTCCTCCGGGTCAGCTTCTTAACTGACTATACTCTGTGTTTACAACAGCGACCCATGCCTCGTGGCTCCTGAGCAGTCTATGATCCAGATTTGAAACCTGCCTTTTGCTATCGTGGAGATCCCCCTTGAGCGCATTTTGTCACTCTTAACCGTCAAAAAGTCAGCTTCGGTGTGTGGCGGAAGCCTGGTCCCAAGCTCATTTGTTCCTTGGATCCACACCGAACACAACATTTAGCAAAAAGGTCATGTCCTAAGAGCACTGTTTCCTGATCACCTGCTATGTGGCGCGTGCTACAGCAGATGGCTTACGGCTGTCATCGTGCTCCGTGCTCCAGGTGGCCCCGAAAGGGGACCGCCAGCATCCCATTCTTCAGAGGAGGCAAGTGAGGCTCAGAGCACTGTGGCATGCTCAAGGTCAAAGCACAGAGGGGGCGCTGCAGGGACACGGGACGACTGGCCTGGGAACATTACCCAGCACTTATCAAACTGTTCAGAATCATGAGCTTAGGACCTCATAACCTGCAAAGGGACCCAAAAACTTTCCCAGTGGCCCCACTCCAGGCAACCCACAGGGCCCCAATTCTCCCCGCCCCGTACTTACAAGATCTCTGGGCAGGGGAGGTAATAGGGGACATAGGAAAAGGGCAGCCAATTCTCCACATACACCCTGGGAAGGAAAAACACCTGTTGACTGTCATGAGGCTGAAAACCCACTTGGTGCACGTTGATGGGATCCCCCACCACTCCTTGAGTCTGGTTGACCTCAGAGGTCAAAGCCTCCTGGTCTCCTGCAATGTGGCCATTATCCACCCGTGCGGTCTTCGTTCCAGGGACGGGAATGTTCTTGATGCCAGGCCCTAGGCACGAGGGAGTGAAGGGAGTGATGGTGGCCGTGTTGGGAGGGCTTCACAGAGGGAACACATGGGGTGAATTGTGGTGCATGCACAGGAGTTCTTAGAAGAATGGTCCAAGCTGAGGAAAGAGCGAGTGCAGAGGCCCTGAGGCCATTGCTAATCAAAATCCAGAAAGCAAAACTAGTTTGGTCTTACTGGGATTGCAGTTGGGGGACTGGAGTTCCAAGAGAGGTTGGGGGGGGACCTAGGAATCCATAAAGGGGTCACGATTTGGGTGTTGAGATGCCAAGAAATGGAGGAGTTTGGGGTGAAGGGAGGGCTCCATGGGGACATGCTCACCACAGAAAGCAGAGGGCAGTGCCCAACAGCAGGCAGAATCCTAGGCCCAGGGCCAGTCTGCGGCAGCGCATTGCTGGGTCAAGCTTTTGAACCTGGGCACTAGGAGAGACTGAGGGGGCTTGGAGTCAGTCCACCTCTCCCAGGGCTGTCGGGCTCTGTGCCTGTATCTCGGGGATCCAAGGAACACCTGCAAAGGAACGCTCTGATAGGGGATAGGGGCTCCCTCCTTGCTCCCTGCCTTCCCCTGGGTGGCCCGAGCTATGACAGCTCCGGTAGGCGGACAGAGGGACAGTGGCTCCGTGCTCAGCCGAATCCTGCAGCTCTACCTTGGAGAGGCCAAGCGTCCCCCCTGTCTGGGCTCTCAGGTCCTCCCCCTCAACCCCTGCCCTCCGCGGGGAGCAGAGGGCGGCCTGCCTGCCCTCGGACTCGGGCAGCAGCGCAGGGCGGGGCGCCCGGGCGGGGCTTGGAGGACTCCAGCGGGTAACAGCGGGGACACCGGAAATCGAGCCCTGAGCCGGCCCAGTGGGGACACACCAGGCCCGAGCGGGGGCTGCGCCGAGAGGGGCGGCCGTGCTGCCGTTGCGGTGGAGTAGGGATGGGGTGCGGGGGAGTGGGGGCAGCGGTGTCTTCCTCCGGAAGGGCAGTGCCTGGGCTCTCCAGGGGACGGCGGGAGCGCGCTTCCACTCTCCCGGGCTCGGTAACCTCGGGCAAGTCACTCTCCTCTCCCTCCACGCCAGCCTCGGTGTCCTCCTCGGCCAAACGTGTCCGCAGCCGGTGGCCTGGGGCCCAGACGCGCAGCGCACTTCGCCCACGACTGCCCCGCGACGCGGGACGGTGGGGAGCGCGACTGTCCCCGCCGGCTGGAGACTTACCCCTTGCGACCGGACGGGGTTTAGGACGGATGGAGGGGCGCACCCCGGCCCGGAAACCAGGAACTCAGCTTGCCAGGGCCCCGGCGATACCCGGCGGCCGCGCCGCGCCTGCAGCCGCGCCCGGGGCTGACCCTGGGGCAGAGCCGGCGGCTGAGCGCGCGGTCTCCCGCCCGAGAATGGAGGGCGGGACCCGCGAGAGGAAAGGACATGTATGCCCCGCCCATCACCCTGAGCGCCCCGCCCCCGCCCCGCCCACCCGCGTACCCGGCCGCGGGTCCCAGCCCCTGCCCACCTGCCGCTCGCGCCCCGCCCGCCGGCCACGGTACCCGTCCCCGGGGTCCTAGCGCAGGTCCTCTCACGCAGGCGGCCCAGCCCCGCAGCGATAAGAGTCGGTCCGGGAACTCAGGGCGAGGGTGGGGACCTGAGAAATCAGAAAAACTTCCTTGTTTTTAGAAGAATGTCGTAACAATCCCAGGAAGGAAAACCCAGCAGAACGCCGTTTAGCTCAGGGCCTCCCAAATCTCCCTGAGCCTTCCCTCCTCCCCCAAAACGGGTTGCCAGGTAGCATTGACACCCTAGTTCACACCGGCGATTCCCGATTCCTGGGGCCGGGGGGACCCTCTTACATCTCTCCAAGAGCCAGAGAGCCTGGGAGGCAGAGGCCTTTGCTGGGTGCTGTTGAGGGAGAGGGCATACAGAGGGACAAAAAGGGAGGCGCCCAAACGGTTTGGGTACAGAGAAATCGCATGGGAAAGAAATAAGGACAATCAGGCTCAGAGAGGTTACAGGCTTGTTCAAGGTCACAGTGATGCAGCTTGAAATCGTAGATCCAGGTCTTCTTGGCTCCTGGGCACAGCCTCTCACGTCCTGCAGGGGTGTCACTGTGTCCTCGGGGTTTCCCTTGAGGACCACAGGGTCCTGTAAGGCAGGGCTTGTGTCCCCCAGAGGATGCAGGGGCCTGGCACACGCTGGGGGCGCTGGTGAGTGCTGGCTGAAAGGTCCTGCTTCCATTTTTAGCAGCAAACACTGGTTCCCTGGGACCCAGTCTGGGACTGAATCTATTTTTTTCTTAAGCAAGCTCTACCCTGAATGTGGGGCTTGAACTCAAGACCCTGAGATCAAGAACCACATGGTTTATCCACTCTTGACTGTTTTTTGCTGACTCTGGTTACAATTGTATAGCCAGGGCACGAGGCCTGTAGATTTTCCAGCGGCCTCCGGGCTGAGGCTCAGGAATCACTGTTATCGCAACCACAGGGACCTGTCAGGACTGGAAGGGTCTACGCCACTGGGAAGCGAGGCGCAAGCTGGCTTGCAAACAATGATTTCTCCCTGGGAATAAAGAGGTGACCCAGGGCTCACCCAGCCCTGTGGCCCTGGCAGACGGCCAGCCCTCTGCCAGCCGGCCACGGCCCTTTCCTGACCCAACCAGCTCTGTCCGATGTCCCTACCCCCCGCCCCCCATCTCCCAGGAGGAGACAAATCCAACCTAGGACAGCCTCAGGGCTGGCCTGAGAGGAGCTGGGTGGAAGGAAAGGTGAAGGAAGACTGAAGGGATGTTCGGTGTTTGTGACCTTAAACTATGGCGACTAAGAACTGGGAGGGGAGAGGAAGATGGCCCCAGCACAGGGCATGCATTTGGACGGCGTCCTACTCGGAGAGTGTAGGTGGCTAAGCTAGGAATCCAGGCGGAGACCTGAAGTGCTCAAGGGAGCCCCGAGGAGAACCCAAAAGAACAAGAGCCAAACGGAGAAAAGTGTAGGGGCAGAGGGAGCGGTGGGCGGAATTGGTGCCCTGGTTTGCAGTCAGCTGCTTCCTCCCAACTTGCTCTGCCCCTATATATGTAATCAGAAAAAGCTTTTATTAAGTATTCCTTAAATATCTTTTTAGGATGAGGAGGGCCATGAGGACTGCAGTCGCCCTTGCTGACGGTGGGTGGGACTGTCAGGAGGCTCTGGGTTCGCTGGCAGACGCCAGGTGCCTGCAGATGGCAGGGAGCATAGGGGGCCCCGAGTCCATGCATGAATGCATCCACACATGGACAGAGACACAGTGGTTTCTCCTCTGTAACATAGCGGCCCCTTATGTGGATTCATTTGTCTATTGAGTCAAGAAAACGTAAGGGTCTGCTAGAGGTCAGGCACTGTTCTGGGGGTTTGGGCTTACAGCAATGACGTGACATCTTTCCTGCTCTCATGGAGCTAACCAGAGCAGGGGTTAAATGGGGAATTCGGGTCCCAGATGTGTGATCTTGCTGCTGGGATCAGCCACCTTGTCCAGCAGCTTAGGACCAATCCAAGGGAGGCCTGCAGTGGAGGGGTTATGTCCATGCTACCCTCAATAATCACGTGTCTATCCCCCCCATCACCTGTTCTCTGATTACTCATCTGTAAAATGGGCGTGTAAGGAAATCCATCCCTAGGTTTTTCCGTAAAGTTGAACTTGACCCTCCCAGACTGATAAGGAAGAACTTCCCCGTGGTCTGTCTCCCCACTGGTAACTCCAGGGGAGGGGGTCACTGGGTTTGAGGTCACCAAGGGGATTGGGCAATGTCCCAGGGGGATGGTTAGGGTTCTTCTTCTGGTTAGTGGCCAAGCTGGGCTGGAGGCTCTGGTCTTCAAAGATTGTCCTCAGATCCCCCACCACCCACAGATTTTCACAATTGGTCCCCTGCTCTGACCTACCCCCAGGATCCTCGAAAGTGCCCCAGAGTGTCTCTCAGGAAGAAGGGGCATGTCTTAGAACCCTGGAATGATCAGGAGTAGCAGGATTCCCTAGACCTTAATCTCCCAGGGCAGGTGGAGGGTCTGCAGAGCTGGGTGGAGACAGGGCTTCCAGCCCAGGGCCTCCCTTTTCTTACCGTGAGGAAGAAACTTCTGTCTGGAGCAAGGGCCAGCATTTTCATGGGAACCCAGCGAAGGCTGCGGAAACCCAGGTTAGACTGAGACATCCATCTCAGCCTATCTGCTGGGCCCTGGTCCCGGGTCCCGGGAAGGGCAACAACAGGAGATGTGTCCCTGAGGACAGACGTCCAGTCTCACAAAACCTGTTTTTCCTGGTATAAAAGGAGGCAATGAGTTCCTTCTGTGCTTGTCAAGCTGGGCCTCTTGGAACCCCGAGGGTGGCGGGCAGGGGGCTGGGTCCCTGGGGAGTGTATCGGAGTTAGGGGGAGTCCAAGTCTCATCCCAGCTTCACCCCGTTTGCGAAACTGGGCTTCTGCATTCAGTATCATCAGAACAATATACACCAACCCTCCTAAAAAGTGGGGCTTAAAAAATGTCAGGGCTGATGAGCACTGGGCCAGCCCTGACCCTCGGGGACCCTGCTCCTGTGATCCTTGTTGTCCTGTGTGTTCGGGAGAACAAGTAGGGGAGCAAGCTGGCTGTTCGGTCCACCTGGGAGCCCGCCGAGTCTGAGGGCCACTCTTCAGTCGGAGTCCCATTATCCCGCACTGGCTGAGCCAGGCCTGCCCAGGGGCAGAGCCCACTGAGCGCCTGTTTCTGGCACTAGCCTGGTCATGGGGAGCAGATATGCCAAGCCCTTCTGAGGTCACCATGCCTGGACCCCTGGAGCAGACCCAGGGAGAGGAGAATACCCCAAAGGAATGGATCTGAGCCCCCCACACCCTACATCCAGGAGAGGAGCTATTTGGCTGGGCAGGGAGCCCACACCCACACAGTGTCCTCCCCAAACCCTGACACCTGAAGCCCTTCAGGTGGCTGGCAGAGTGGACACCCCCTCCACAGCACAGGGAGGGGTCTGCTCTCCTCCTGGTGTGAGATGCCCTCCCCTTTTACCCAGCTTGTCTCCTTCAAAAAACCGGAGGAAAGACCTAGACACATGTAGTGCCAGGCTGGTGCACACCGGGCCTTGTACGTCTGTGTCTGAGAGCCCTGCAGGAGATAGCACGAGGGTGCAGTGGCGGTGGGGTGAGGGGGCCTGGGGTCCCTACAGATCCCACCGCTTAGTGGTCCGTGAGCTCACTTGGAGGAGAGGCTACGGTTTTGAATCAAAATAGAGAACATAAGAGAGCACGCTTCCCAGGAAGGGTCAAGGGTCTCGTGGACTGCGTGCGCGTGGGTGTGTCTGTGCGTGGGTGCATGCATGCACGGGG